GCACACCTCTCCTTTTCAAAAAGGAAAGATACTCAGGTTGGGGAGTGAGAACAAGGTGTGATGAAGTGGGAAAAAGAGAACTCTTGCAAGATAAAACATCACTCATTCTCCCATTTCTATATTCCCTATTTTATGGAATGATAACATACATGAAAATGTTCACCCATATTATGTCTCTCAGTGCAACAATATTTGCAAAACTGATGGAATTTTTGTTATTTTTATATATCATTTTTGTTTGATGCCTGTCATAAATACTTTAAAAATTATGATCACATTCATATAAGTGCAGGTAATGGAAAAATCTGTCAAATATAAGAATTGGATGAATGTTGCTATGCAAGACTGAGGTGCTGGGGGAGGGGAAGGATGATTTCCCCTCAGCAATTTAACTTATGGCAGTAAAATAAGTTCTATGAATTATGGTTGTGCCAAAGTTATGCTTTCTTATCTTATGCCATACCAAGAATGCCAAATAACCCTGTTCTCTCTCTTGCAGCATTTTACCAAATGTGCACCAAATGCCCCTATTTCAAATCTCACCTCAACCATAAACTGGTTATGCAACCTAACAACAGAGTCTATAATACAGAAGCCAGTCACATTCCTGGACTTACTCCTAGGAAAACATGTACGGGATTGCAGCCTAAGGAAAGCTGTTAGTCTCATGCTCCTATCTGTGAAGTAGGGATGCTGACTTTAGCAACAACCGTTGACGTATAACATGTGCGCGGTACTTCCAAGTCATAAAGTGTGAACTATATAAGGCCTTCCCAGAGGACTGCTCCTTCATTTGAGCAAAATTGTGCTACTGCAGTTTTAGATCTTTACACAATTGCTGGTTAACTAGGTTTTTAAAAGTTGGTTTTATTGTTTTTTAAACTTAAGATCTTTCTATTACATTTTACTATGTTGTCACATCTTATGGTTTTAAGTTTTCTTTTGTGAATCGCCCAAAGAACTTCAGTTCCTGTGTAGTACAGAAATAATACGCTGCCTTTGGTAGAAAATTAGCAGATACATTAAACTTTGCTAAGAAATAGGCTCCCAGAGAACTGTTAATTATAGATTTGTGGAGGCAGGAGTTAAGTCCCAGGAGAGGTACTGCTGAGGTAGAGACCTGCATGATGGAAAAATAAAATGTAGGAAGCAAAGAACTACTGGAGACAATATTCTTGGAATACAGATGATGGACAATTTTATACACAGAAACACAGAAGGTAGGATCCAAACTAAATTAGTCCAACTCAGGCTTCCTTGAAACCAAAAAACTTTAATGTGCAATTCTATAGGTTTTGGGAGGAAGTAAAGATTTATCCTTGAAGATTGCATTAAGTGTTGGTGCATAGGCAATATCCTCCCAGCCTTCAGACAAAACAGTCTTTTTACCATCTCAAGCATTCCTGGAGGAAAAATGACTGCCCAAAAATACCCCTAGGAATGACAATACATCATCACATAATGTTCCTTGAATGGAAAAAAGGAGATATATAAATATAACTAATAAAATAATGTAATTTCCAAGGGCTGTTTGTCTAGAAAGCACTTCTTGAAGCAGTGGGAAGAATTTTTGGTTAAAGCAGAAACAAACAAATGCCTTGTCCACCCCCTAAGAAAAAATAAACCAACACCCCCACCTCCATGTCAACCAACTGTCACTGAATACCAGCCACTTTTGCAGGTGATGCATTGTACTTCCTAAGTGAGGCAAGGGGGTGATACTCAGACCAGCTTTCCAAGACTAACTTTAAAAAAATGATTAAAACTAATGCCTTTAGATGCAACTCATTGTATATACAGCCATACACACCAATGTTACTTTTAAAATAGCAGGCTTTCACAGCTATTCTAACTGCTATAGTCTGCATTCCCTATAGGCCTGTCAATACAAGAGTGCCAGTGGACTCGTGACCTGGTTTGCATAACACGATGGCCCAATTTGGCTAACTAGCTATGGTGGATTATTGCATCATTGGAACCCAGACTGCTTCCCCCAAAGTGACTTATTTTGGGGGCAAGCAGCCATCCTGACAATCCATTGCTTATTCAAGGTTTTGTTTGACCCACAATGAGTTGATGACCCACAATGAGTCATCCAAACCCGGAGTGCATTTTTGTTGTGGGTTGTATCAATTGGCTAGTTAGCTGCCTGGTCGGAGGAGCAAAGCTCCCTGCCGCTCTTCCCAATCTTACCCATGCTACTGCCAGTAATAGCCCCTCCATGGATGCCCAGGCAGCATTCTGAAGTGACTGTCACTCCTTAACCCTTTTTTGACCAGGAAAATTATGCAAATTAAGTAGTCGAGAAATAATGCAGGGGAAACTTGTTTACCACTATTAACTCCTGCACCATGCAACAGATCTCCCCTCCATTTGCTACCCACCCCTCAAATGTATGTAAAAATTCCCGCCATTTATTTTTCAGACATTCAGTTTCTGTATACTATATTTCTGTGGGGTTTTCTCAGGAATGGCAGTGAATTGCTGTAACCACAGCAGTAAGTGCTCTCAAAAGGAACCCAAAGGGGACAGGGCATTTTAAAATCCCCTTTCTTAAATAGCTTGAGTCGCAAGTGTTGGAAATGTGGAGGACGCTGAGAGGATGACAAGGGGGAGATCTTGTCCCCTGGCTCTGACAGTTTTTCCTGTTTGGAAGTGCTTTTCAATTGACAGACAGAGAATCTACCCCTGGCAACTGTGAGCAAATTTGCCTATACGTAATCTCAACTTGTCAATCTGTTTCCTATACTTCACTGCTTCTTTGGACAGCTGAAACAAACAAGGCAATTGACCAGGCGAGATTCCCCATATCAGATAGCCAAAAGTCAACTCAGAAATACTGACCAAGACGACGACAACAACAAAGAGGAGAAGAAAGAACTACAAGCATAATTTTCTGGGTCCAAAGAAAGTGACCCCAGTTGTACTTTTTTGCGGCTCTGAAGGGGATAGCCAACAAAACGGGGTAGAGACCAGAGCAGGGAAATGCCAGGAAGGACAGCTGGAGGACAGAGGGGGAAGCAGGGGGAGAACAAGCCACAGTGAGCCCAATTGCCTGTCAGGCTCACTGCTGGTTGCTCCACGCTATGTAGCTCTTTCACAGGGTGGCTTAGCATGACATGCAAATCCAGCCTATATATTAAAATAGATATGTCAAATACAATATAAATGCAGCAAACAAAAATACTGGCTGATGTGTTGGCTTAACAAAAGAACACAAATAATGAAAGGTTTTGTTTTAATGGATGTAAACATTTCTGGGAGAAAGAAAAATCTAATTTTTATGCCTTTTATGTGTTCTAATCAAGGGGGTTTTTTTAATTCTGAACACAGCTGTCTGCTTTACTGTCTCTCCAATGACGCCAGATGCCCGGTTCATCAAGGAAATGCAGGAAAACAATGATTTGAAAGCAATTAGAAGCACCGAGGCCCATATTAAAATGTGATAACACCGTCCTAGTGGGAATTCCAGGCACCACTGCATTTCTGACATTTCTGTGTTGCCAGAGATGAACATGTGTTGGAAGCAGGGTCCCCCCCCCTCCACATGCTAGTGTTGGGGGGTGAGTGGATGTCAAGCTGAAATTTTATTTCTGAAACCAATGCAAGGAATTAGGGTAATATTCAACATTTAACATTTTTTTCTGATAATTCTATCTTCTCTATACACACAAACATTATTTCCCTTGATCTTGAAAACACCCCTATTCACCCTAATCCAGGTATTATCCACATGCAACAATTGTGCACAAAAACCATTCTGGACTGCGGGTGGGGGAGCATGATGCCCCCACATCCCTCAACTTGTAAAAACTCATGAGTTATTCCTTATATAAATTTCATCTGGGGATGTGCTTGCAAAGCTGTGTATTTGTCTGTGGTATTTGTTTGTGCAGTGGCAAGACTTCTGCTTTTTGGCCTACTGCTGACTCCTCTTTTTTGAGGCAGCCAAATACCCATGTAGTATTTGTTTCAAGGCTGGGAAAATGTAATTCCCAGAAAACATACTTGGTGCAAACGAGCAGCAGTGGCATCTGGACAGGCTCCAGTCGATACCCTCTCCTGGAAAGCCAGTAATTAATCCAGTAGCTGTAACATGGATTATCTTAATCTGCAGTGCAGCCAGCATGTGCTATCAATAGATAATCTTACTTTCCTTCCCTCCCACAGGCAGAGAATCATACTAAACAATTCTTAGACTTCGGAGACTATGCAAGTTGGGACTCGTATCAATATGATCTCCCCAAATATAGAAATGGAGCCCAATCTGCACAGCCTTGGTGTAAATAAACACAGGGCACACTGAACAATGTTGGAGGAGTCCCAGGTTTGTTTTATTTTGTTTTTCTCTTTGTTTCACTCATGGCTAGAGATTGAAAACATGGTAGCAAAATAGGAAGCATCTAAAAGAAATGCTCTCATTCAACTGATTTTCTGACAGCAATTCAGCAGTAGCACACACCCCAGCGCCTCCCCTGGTACCCCCCAATTTCTTCTCGGTGGAAAGTAACCATTTTAGATATTTAGAGAATTTTATACAATTGAAGGCAATGTACACATAGTTATGATGCATGGATGTTAAAATTCATTTAAAGAGAAAAAAGTTTCTAGACTTCACATGCTGGCTTGAGTTAGGGGGAGGTAACACTTTTGGAGAAGTATCAGCTGCACCATTACACCAGTAACCCTCCATTCCCACAATCTTATATGCTATGTGCTAAAGCTAAACTAGACCCAGCACAGAAACCCAAACAAGCTGCTAGAAGCAGGACTCCCCCTCCTTTGGCCCATAATAGAAATGCTGTAGGCTGCTAAGGAAGGGCCAGAATTCCCTGTCTTTGCTTGACCAGCTGCCAGTGGAGTAGTAATATACTTTCTAGTAACTTTTGTGAGCTTTTCCCAGCAAAGTTGATATTCTACTCCTGTAGCACATGTGTATGACGTAATAGCCTACACTCTTGGTACAATTCCCTTTATTGACTAAAGTTAGTTAAACTCACCTCCGGATTGGAATCCCCAATGATATCTGAAAGAAAAGTAATAAAGGAGAAATCAGAACTTTTCAGCTCTTAACTATTGCCCTTCAAAGAAGGGGTGGCAAATGTGATCTCATACATAGGCAAAACATCATTCCCTTGGCTGCCACATTATTTCTGGCCTTCTTAACACGATGCAGATCAAGTACAATTTTGTACGCACTTACCTAGAACAGGGATATGCAATGTAGATGTTTTGGACTACAGCTCCAATCAGCCTCGACCACTATGGATAATGGTCAAGTATTATGTAAACTGTAGTCTAAGACATTTGAAGTCCATTGGGTTTCTTATCACTGACCATTGTTTTGGACTGTTTTATGACCCATGACTAAAGCAAGCAAACCCATGACTAAAATTAAAGTGGACCAAACCTCTTCAGACAAAATCTGAGAAATGTGCTTTTACCTGAACTAGCAGCATAGCTATATTGTTGAACTTCCTTCCAAGATCCTGTGCTTGTCTAATGTAGGAGACTTTACATCAGAGGTTGGTAATGACAGGGCAAGCAGGGGTAATTATTCTCCACCCCTAAACCTCTTCACAGGCCACACTTCACTTAGCACCTTGTAGAATCCCCCACCCACCTTGCAGAATCCACCCCACACTCCATGGCAGAGACAAAACTGTCACTGGTTTGCCTCAGACTTGCTGACAGACTATTACAGAGCTCTAATTAAGTCAAATTTTGCAAATACTTAGCTTCAGGGGTATGGTAGCAGTTATTTGTTTGGACACCTGCTAAAACTACCCATGAAGAGACCTCTCTGGCTCTCTCTTGTATCCACAAATTCTTCTTTATTCCTCTTTGGAGCACAAATCTATTAATTGCTTCAGGAGGCCCAAAAAGTGAATGCTGGCACCATGTGTCAATGAGGAGCAGAATTCTGAGCAGGTGTAGCAGCTGGCAAATGACTACCTGATAAAGCCATCTGGAAGCTTCTGCCCTAACAGAGGATCTGTACCAACCTGGTATCCTTCTTTCGCAGGTTCCTCTTAACCTGTATGTCTGGAGTGGGAAACCTGTGGCCCTCCAGAGCTGTACTTCAGCTCCCAGAAGCCCTTGCTAGCTTGATCAATAGTCAGGAACAGTGGAAACAGCATCTGGAAATCTCTGGGGTGGGGAAAGCTGATCTAGAGGCTCATTACCAGTCTCAATGTGTGAGCTGGACCTTAATCCAGGAAGCAGACATGGGTATGGGGAATCTTTCACTATTGGTAACTTGATTTCCAAATAAAATTCGTATTTAAATTAGTTCCTAGGGATTTGAGTGTCCGGTGTTCATGCATGAGCACAACATAGAATCAGGTTGAGAATTCTTAGCCCGTCAATAATGTGCAGGGTGCAGACTGGGGCTGTTATACTTAATTAAACTTGACAGCCAGAAGGATTCTGCATTGTTTTTTATTCTGATGTTTACATGCCTGGTGGTGTCACACTTAAGCCGGATTTCAATTTCTTAACTAATAAGAAGAATATATGTGCTATTGCTTTGAATTCAGCACTTTTGTCCCAACTTCCAACATAAAAATTATGCCTCCCTTTCCAAAACCAGATGCTTCCGGGGAATCCACTGACTATGGCTCAGTAAATTCTTTGCTCAGCAAGTTACTGGGAACAGGATGGAGAGTTTTAGCTCGAATTTTGCTAATTCAGAATCCAGTTTAAAGTTTTATTGGGCAGTATTTAGGACCAGGGTTTGTTTGTACCTGGAGCTGGGGGGCTGACATAACAAAAGATATCCCATCACTGCCATTCCATCAATTCAGAACAGACATCATCTCTTTTGCAATCTCTAACAAACTCTTTTTCTTGCTGACTCTGAGCACTTCAATTCCCATTTTCCCACTTGCTCAGGTCACCTCTCCATTTTTTGTTTTTATTTTTTCTCAGAAAGGAGATTATTTCCTCTCCTGTACAGTGAATAATTCTGATTCATGATGAGTGATTCCAAGTTGCAAATACTTCTTGTTTAGTGAATTCTTGTCCTCTCTCCTTGAGAGGGGCACCTAATCTCTCTTGAACATGTCTTCTTCATAATATTTATTGCACTAGGTGCTAAAAATGATTTTCTGTCAGTTTCCATTTCAGTTTGACCAAAAGAATTGTTGTATCTGTCCCTAACCTCTGTCATTTTTAATACAGTAGATTGGAGGGTTTTTTCAAAGTAAATCTGAGTTCTAGTGCACAATTTAGAGACATGACAAATCCCTCCACAGGATACGGTCACTGCCCAAGTAAGCAAATTTTGTGTAAACTGTACATTTGTGTGTGCATGCACACACACACACAATCAGGTGATTTTCTTTGCAGCATTTCCTTTTAAAATGTCTGCCTTTTACCCAACTTTTCATTTTGCCTCCCAGTCCTCCCCCACTTAAAATGTCTACAATCATGTCTTCTAAACCTGACAATATGAATTAAGTTATATAATGTATTAACTATTTTCATTATTAGAAATAGCAAAAGCTGTGAAGCATCTTAAATGTTTTGGCATCAGCTTGCATTTAAAAATATTACATTCTTAATTCAAATATTATAATATCTAAACTTATTTCTCCTGTGTGTTATGACAAGGTTGATTGCTATCTACCGAGATGGTCGAATGATGGCCCAAGAAAAGAAAATGAGGATAGGAGAGTGCAGGAAGGAGAAAAGGGGAACACATTTCTACTGTCCCCAAATCAGTAACATAAAACATCAAGACATAAATTACTGGGGGGAAGAGTTGATTGTGCCCCTGCAGCCTCCAAGATTGCTGGGTCATGTATTTGAAAAGCGGGATGTGGGGATATCCTTCTCACACAAAATACTGATCAGGTAGGGTCCTGAGGATAAGGAAAGAATGAACAGGCCTGGTATAAAACAGTCTGGGTTTGGGGAAATCCAAATGGCATCCCCTCTCCTATTAAATAACACAGGACAGTGCCATCTGGAAAGTTTCCCTGAAAAAAACCCTAACCAAACTCACCAGGAACTTCGTAAGAGCATAATAATTCATTTTTGTTAAGTTTACAGAAAAGGGTGTCCCAGCAGATTTCGTCCTATGGATCAGAGCTGTCCATCGCCCACTTGTCATGTAGCCTGGAACGTTTGAAATTTGCCCCTGAAGTGGCCACTTCCCATAGCTACAGGGTAGGACTGTTTGCTCTACACTTGCTTCTCATCCACCCAGAGGACACAAAACCTTGGGCCTGTATCAAGCCAGCTACAGCGGCACTGCTGGGGAGGTCTAGGGGCCAAGGAGAAGACCTCTAGTTTCCTGCCTGGGAGGATTTCAAAAAGTTGGCTGGTAGAGGAATCCGTTTAGCAAAACCAGCCACCCTCCCAAGCAGTTTCAAATAAACGAGCCGTGAGGCAAATCCATAAAGTCAAGGTATAATTACACTCCCTTGTAATTCCAGCCAATTGAGAACACTAAAATCACCACAGCGGATATTTAAGTTAGAACTTGACAAATCTGGGTTTAACTTGTTGGCTATTTTAATGTCTACCCAAGGAGAAATAATTGATGCTGAACAGGACCTCAAGCAAGCAAGAGGGAAAGAAAGCCAGGAGAACAGAGAGAAACCCCATAACACACCATCAGCAAAGCCCTGCAATCCACTTAAATTACGTTTCTCGTCCAAATGGCACAGAGGCAGCAGACAGGGAAGAGGAGAGAGATGGGAGACTGATTTTGACTATACAGCCTTCATCATTTACAGTGATAAGGCTCAAAATCAATGCCTAATCCACAAGAAAGAGACTGTAAAGTCCAGCTCCTCCCATGTTCCACCAGATTCTGCTTTACATCTACTAGAGACTATCCCAGCGATGACCCTGACCTGCCTAATTTCATCCAACAGTGCAGTAACATATGTTTAATCTACATTCTGTGGATGCCAAGATTCTATGACTGCACTATGCAAGCAACGGATCTGGTACTGGCAAGAAAAATTCAGCATCCTGGACATCTCCTGTTTTCCTTTTTAAAAGAAAATGTTTCTAGACCTTAGGACTGAGACAGTGGGCTTGAAAGTATGCAGCTAGTGCCTGAAGAAATTGCCAAAGGCAGGAATTAACAAGATTTAAAGGGCACGGTACAGCTGGAAACAGAATTATACATAACAAATGAATGAAGATTTTGTTATTTAAATAATGTAAATAGTCTTCTTGGAAGAAGTCTGAGGTAGATAAACAGAGGTCAGGGATGATGTGCTTCAAGAATCAGGAACCTCAGAGCTGGGTGCCTAATAGGAACAACCTCGGGATATCCTGCCTTCCAAGTTTTCCCAAATGACCACACCTCTTTTCCCTTGCCTCATGCTTTTCTCCCAGCCACCAATGTTTGGTGGCCTCCCAGCTTTTGTAGCTTGCAATGTTACAAAATGTTGAAATCCTTAGTTACTGGCAGCTTAAGCCAGAATCTGAGAGTATTTTTTGCATTGTTTTGGTTCTTCCGCTTCTGCTTTTGGTCCTGCTCTCCACTGGAGTGCAGCCCAGGAGAGTTTTTCCAAAACTGAATTTGGTTCCCAGGCTCAAAGAGGAACATAGCTAAGAGATTCACCACTTCTGTTGCAGTTGTAAGCTGTGCCCTACGCTGTGTCTAGGGCTTCTGCCCAGGTTGCTTCAGAGTCTAAATTTCTATTATTATCTTGTCAGAACAAAATTGTTATTTAATGTATTTATTTTGGAGATTATTCTGTAAAATTGTGCAGAGGTGTGCACATGAATTCTGGTCCATTGTATTTACCAGAGCAGTCCAAATTCCCTGTTGAACCAGACGTTGCTAAGGTTGCTTCAAGGCCTCTAGAACCGATGACATTACCACATACCATTGCCTAGGGACCTGTGGCCTGGCAAGACTAGATCAGTCCTCTGTCCTGCCCCTTCATGCAGCTGGAGTCAAAATAGCCCAAGCTAAAGCTGGTTGCACCTCTAATGTACACAAAAATTTGAATTTACCTTTTTATGAAAGCAATTAGCCAGGATGTCTGATATTCCTGA